TAATGAACTGATTTGTAAAATCTAGGTATGAACAGCGAGCCCAGTACCTTCAGCACATAATTGATGCCTATACAGCTCCCAGCTCTTTTGAAGATTTCGTTCATAATCTGATTACGCCTAGTGTCCCACCAGGTAAATACTGTACACGCTAATTTTTTTATAAAATTTTTCCTTGACAGGCCAAATTCCTTTTTAAACCTTATTTACCCATATCATAATGTGCACTTATTGCTGCGGGTCCAAACTTATATGCACCTAGATCGTAGATTTGAAAACCAAGCTGGTGTGGCCTTCTATTTGGTTCTACGACATGTACATAGCTGCATTCTTATTTATCTGATGAAAATTGCACGATATTAACTTTGTATTTTCGCCATATTATCACTTGATCCCAACTTTTCCTGCTTTCTTGGACTTTCTATTCCCACCACATATATATCTAACGGGTATCAGAAGCATCCATGCCTATACCGGCAACTTCTAGTCCTCCAGTGCTGCCAACTAGCGGTTACGCATTGTCATATGGTGCCAGCGGTGCGCCGAGTGGGAACCGTAAGAGCCGACATATCATCCAGCCGTTGAATGCATCCGGGACACATATAAGTGTTCCTTTGCGACACCCACTGAGCAACGCTGGTCCCAACACAAGTCCCACTGTACAAAGCCAGTCTCGGGAGGCAAGTATTATGCTACCCTTGAACACCATCTCTTCCTCCGGCTCGGCTGGAGGTGGAAATGCTCCCTGTTCTTCGGTGGCTAGTGCCGCAATAGGCTCTACCACCTGTTCACAGACCCCCATGGCTCCAAGTGGACATAGCCCTGTTCCACAATCTTCGGTAACAACTGGAATGGCTATCAGACAGCTGGGTGTGTCCACAACGTCGAACAATCCGAAGACCAATAGCACATTATCGATCCACTCCACAACCGTGCACCAAGAAGCTAGCTCTGTGCAGCTAGGGAACCACTCTAAACAGGATGATGGCTTTAGTCAGTGTAAGAACTTTATTTATTTATCTTCATTATTTTCGAAATATTTTTATTTTTAGAAGTTGTTTTACCTTGTTTTCGCAACTTGGTCATATTTGCAGGAAGACTTAGATGAACGCGCCCATTCCAGAGTCCATTGTTTGCATGATAATTTCCAAAGTCGGACCGTGGATGTGGTACATTCCCAGACGTTTCGCCTGCATCATAGTCAGCATCGTCAGTGAGTCTTGTCATTCTTAGCAAAATACTACAACTCGTCAAAAGAGACAAGTGAATTCGATCCTTTGGCCATTTGTCTGCTAAACAATTGTGGTATCTCTCCTGCCCTTAGCTATTCACCTATCCTATATCCTCGTATCACCCCTTCAGTATCATAATTTCTTACTTGTTTATCTAAACCTATTTGAAACCTTGCCGTGAGTATTGAACCAAGG